GCCCACTCAGAGCTTGTCAACTCGTTGCTCAACTTCTGGCGGAAATCCGGAGCCCAGCGGTTGGGATTCTTGTACGGAACCTACGAAGAATACGCGGAAGTACCCTTGGGCGTCAAAGCAGTGGTGCAGGCAATCTATGAGCCTCCGCAAGTTGATGAAGTTGACGGTGTCACGCTGCACGAGTGGCCCGATGAGAAGGAGGTCGACGAGGTGGCGCGGCTTTGTGGCATGGAGAAGATTGGAGTGATATTTACAGACCTGCTTGATGCAGGTAACGGAGATGGATCAGTAGTATGCAAGCGGCACATTGATTCATACTATCTTTCTTCCCTCGAGATCGCTTTCGCAGCACGCCTACAAGCTCAACATCCCAAGGCAACAAAATGGAGCCGGACGGGCCGGTTTGGATCCAACTTCGTCACCTGTGTCCTCAGTGGAGATGAAGAAGGAGCGATCACTGTCAGCGCGTACCAAGCATCTGTGGCTGCAGTCGAGATGGTTCGAGCCGACATCGTCGAGCCGTCCGCCGAACCATCTGTGATGCTGGTCCAGTCTGAGGATGACGATGAGCAGAACAAATCTCGATATATCCCTGAGGTCTTCTACCGCAAGATCAACGAATACGGCGTCAGTGCCCAACAGAATGCCAAACCCAGCTTTCCAGTGGAATATCTCCTGGTCACATTGACCCATGGTTTCCCCACCGAATCTTCCCCCCTCTTCACCGACAGCAGCTTCCCCATCGAGAATCGCGAAGTCATTGGCGAGAGTCAAGAATTACGCAACGTCGCGAAGAAGCTTGTTTCGCATGGTGACCCGGAGAAGGCAATCCGTGCCGTGTCAGATTTCCACTTGCTGTGCTTCCTGCACAACCTCTCCACCTTCAGCAAAGTATGGCCTGCTGCTATGTCCCCTTTCCTCCCTTTTAAAAGTACATCGCATTATTATCAGTCGCATGCTAACATATCCTCCCACTCCGCAGGACGAAGAATCTCTCCTCTGCCGCGTCGCAACCTCCCGTAACCCCGCCGATGGTATGCAGCTGATCAACACCCCCGGCTGGGCGACACTGGTCACAATTCTACAGGAAAGTGGTGAGCGGCCCCCCAAGCGACCCTGGCTGAGCACGGCCACACTACCTCCATCTTCATCATCACCATCACCATCACCTGGATCTGAGCTCCCTCTCCCCATGAGAAAAGCCGGTCGACGCCCCATTCCCTCTGCCTCTGCCTCCTCCCGATCCGCCTCTCCCAAATCAGAAAGTGAACAGCTTGCTAAGAGGTTTAAGGGAGCTAGCCTAGAATGAGTGATTGATTCTGGTTCTTCCACGTCGAATGGAGAAACACCTTCCAACCCGCGGAAACCCGTCTCAACATTTTTCCCGCTCCGCCTGCTTGCCTCTCTCCGCTGCTCCTCACCGATGTTTCCCCTCGCTCTCTGCTATCCATCATATAGGGAGAGCTCGAGTTGCGATCAACCTTTTAGTATAAGCGCTGTTCGATCCCGATCTCGGTTGATATGGTTTGTTGATCAGCCTTGAAGGGTCAATGGGGCCATGTGAGGGATTAGCTGAGGGGTCAATAGGACCAGTTACTAGTCCAGAGAAGCATCAGTGGTCGTTGATGATGCTGTATCTAGGGTATAGTTTCACCCCCAAGCAAGGATATATCTCTTCCAACAGGCGCTTGCCTCTCATTCTAGCTAGGGCATACTCACCCACGTATCTGGCCCCCTTTTCGCGTGCTGGTGCCAAGCTCGGCTACACAGTACTTACTCTTCGGCCGTTTGTAGCATGCTTATTTGAGGTCCGTAACAACCGGCAGTGGCAACAAGCTTGCACAGAATCATGATGCAAACATTTTGGAAATGAATTTGTTGGTGAAGCGAGAAAGAGACGATTCATATTCCATATTCCCAGTGAGTGCCATACACATTTTAGCCCAATGCGTCAAATAGAAAGGGAAGCAAAAGAAGAAAAAAATGAAGAAAACAGCATGACGGAAGTGTAACACTACCGCTCCATCCCATGGGGAGTGATCGCTGCATATTAAAAGAAATATGATACAGGATAGAATGGCAAAAGTCGTAATATAATGATGGCCCAATTTGTCGTCGGATGGTGCAGGATTACAGAAACATGAGATTGAAGGGACAATCGAGAGAATCAAAGACGTATTTGTGAACGCACAACGACAGAAAAGAATCAGAAGTCAAAGAGGCCTCCTTGCAACCAAAGGAATGTAAATACGTAGAAGGAGGGAACCGAGGATTGTGGAGAGAGAACTCAAGAAATCGGACGCGGACGCCGCTTACTCTTTCTCGAGCAACTCGCCCAGTCTCTTCTCCAGAAGGCGTCTGCCCTCGACAGTTTTCCACACCTCGTGCGGTGCCCCGCTCACAATATCCCAGTCCTTCAGGTTCTGAGTGATTTTCGTCAGGTCCTCCTGCGTCTTGGCCCATTTGTGGCTCTTGCGGACCTCGACGCCCGAGCTGACGACGACCAGCGGCGTGTCAGACATCTGGACGTGGCGGGCAGTCTGGACCTCCGAGGCGGTCATGGACTTGGCGACGAGATTTTCTTGGAGCTTGGCCTTGATGAATTTCCCTGTCTGGTAGGCGCTGCGGCCGTAGACCCGGTCCTCGCGAGTGCGGCCCTTAAACAGGGCGCCGGCAATTCGATCCAGCCCCAGCGGCGAGAGCACTCCTTGCAGCCAGAGGACAAAGCCGCGGCTTGAGGAGCCGATCTGTGAGAGATAGTCCTCGTGCGTGCTGTCGATGAGCAGGATACCAGTCACCTCAAGCAGGTGCCTACTGGCGAAGATGCGGCTGTAGATGCCACCGACGCCCGCAGAGACGAGGACCCAAGGACCCTCTTCGCCGGCCAGGGCGAGAGCCTCCGAGAGGGCGTCGGCGGCCATGCCGGCTGAAAAGGGGGACGGCGCGTTGTCGGACCAGCCGAAGCCTGGGCGATCCCAGTAGCAATAGCGAGGGACCAAGCCGCTTTGGTAGGCGTTGTCAATGAAGGGTTGGAGGGTGTGCTCGACAGGACCTTCGCCGCCTTCGATCAGGACGGTGGGAACGTCATCGAGATATTGAGTCGTCGTTGTGTTAGGGCTGCCCACACAGTTGAGATGGACCTGGTAGTTGTTGCTATTGACGAGATACTTCTTGCCCGGCGCAGCGAGAGAGGCGTCGCGGGACCGCAAGATCAGTGTAGCCGTGAAGAGAATAGAGACGACTCCGAAAATGGCCATGAAGATGGTCTGCAGTAGCACGGCAATCCATTCGCGGAGGGGGCGACGGCTTTCCGGACGACCTGTGAGACGCTCTTCCTCTTCACGCTTGCCCCATTCGACAGCCCGATTCTGGAAGATACTGTACAGGGCGATGAAGGTGGCCCAGACAACCGAGGCTACGCCTACCCAACCCTCTTCGACGCGGATGCGAGGTACAGCAAGGGTGAGGATCATATCGATGCAGAGAAAGACCCCGATGATGATTCCCCATACGGTCATTGGCTTGGACGGTACGGCAAAGAAAAGCAGGCTGATGACGAGGTATCCGGTGGTGAGGGTTGTATAGGCGAAGCTGAAGAACCCAGACCCCCGACTATGCATCATGGGAGGACTGACGAACAGTGAGACAAGAAGGAAGGTCCACCAGATGAAACTCAGGGCCAGAAAGAGCGAAGATAAGCCGCGAAGAGCGCGGATGCTCCAAAGGTTGTACGGAGAGACCTGGAAGTGGCAAGTGTGAGCAACACCGACTGGCCTGGCACATTTTTGTCTGCTTTAGATTCCACAACGAAGAGCACTCACAGCAGGATCATCAGGACTCAGGTAAGCTGGGGGATCGCGCGGCAAGAGTCGAGAGCGCTCTGTGGGCTCTGGGTGTTGGGTATCATCACCCTCGTTGTCTGGCCGCTCCTCCCTTTCGGCGTTATCATTCCGCCCAAGTTTGAGTGACGGCATGATACCAGTATAGCGAAGCACTCAAAGTCGACTTTGACGGTGGCCGTATGTACTGTACAGGCGACACAGGGGTTGAAACCACGTAACCACGTTCACGGATGAACTGTGGAAGGGAAGCGATAGAAAGGCGATTGAGAAAATTGGGAATACAGCTGCATAACAGCAAAGGCAGGCAGTGACGGAGATCGCATCTTCGATAACTTGACGTCACAGGGAACAATGGGGGGGAGAATTGGAATATCACGGGATCTCCCCAGAAGGAATGCCACACGCTGACGTCATGCAAGGTTCATGCCAGTTCTCACCGCTACATCTGATAAGAATTGTGGTACAGTAATAGATTGGTTCCTGGTCGAAGGTGACAAGATGATAAATGGGGGACGAGGCTTGCAGCATCTGTGGAAGAGAGAGCAGAGAAAGGAAAAGCGACAGAATGATCGGGCTTAGTATTAGTAGTAGAGAGAGAAAGAAAATAGATTAAAGGAAGGTGGGTAGTCAGGTGATCTTGCATTCATTTACTCAAGTACTCAGTAGGCGGGCTGTTGATTCCTACACATATGAGTATGAGTACTGAGTACTGTACAATATCAGATCGGATCGATTGTTTGCCACACGATCTACATAGGATTACTCATAATCCAACCGAGATCTCATCTACTCATACAGAGTAGAAGCTTGGAACCAGATCCACCATCCAAAGCGGCATTAGTGACCGGTGCGTGCGGCGTGTCCCCACTGCTATCTCACTGCTATCGGCCTATCTGACCATGCAACAAACAGGGAAAATCTATGCACCACGATTCGGGATTAATTGATAGAGAGTATTGCTTGTTTGTCGAACAGTTAATTGAGATGATTGAATCCCCACAATCCAGACTACACCGCACCACCGCATGACCCACCCACCCCATTGTCTGCTATTGCGCATCAAATCCTTGTGTTGATCGAACCCACACAACACCCACACAACAACTCTGCCAGTGGCAGTATCCCCCCCTGTCAGAAAGCAGAAGTCCAATCACATTCATGAGCCAGCTGCAGAAATCCTTCGCCAAATCTAAATTGGCCAAGCTCTCGCACCAGCTACCCCCCCACGACCTGTCCGCGACTCCGTCTGCTTCTATGTACCCCCTCAACGAGGAGCAGGGAGAGTCCAGTCACGATGAGGACGACTCCTCCGCTTCATCCACCGGCACGATAGTTCCTTCGCCCAGTCGCAATCTATTCGCCAGACCAAATGGTGGTCGCGGGTAAGGATGTCGTCCAATTACCAGCCAGTGCTTCTCAACAACCATCTAAATGCCTCTTTAGATCCCCCCAAACAAGCTTAAGCTGGACCGAGTTCTTCACTCAAGACCTGCATCTCACTCGGGTCGACTCCAGCACTAACACGCGCATCACCCACCATGTATACCTCACGCCCCCCGCCGACTCCGGTAGTCCGCTCTTCGTGATGCACCACGGCGCCGGCTCCTCGGGCCTTTCGTTCGCCGCGTGCGCCGAGGAGATCCGCAAGCTCCTACCCAACGCAGGCATCCTATCGCTCGATGCTCGTCACCACGGCGGCACGGTCGTGACGACAGCCTCCACCGCCAACGACGAAGGGGACGACAGGGCCCCTCAAGAAGATGGAGGCTCACCCGCTCTCGATCTCAGCCTGGAAACCCTCAACGGGGATCTCGTCTTCGTCGTCCGCGAAACCCAGCGCAAGATGGGCTGGGACAGTCTTCCAGACCTAATCCTCGTCGGGCACAGCCTAGGCGGCGCCGTGATAACCGACGTCGCAAAGACCGGCGACCTAGGATCCAAAGTGCTGGCCTATGCCGTTCTAGATGTTGTTGAAGGTAAGTCTTCGGCAACCACAGACCCCTACTCGGACTCTTCCCCCGGAATTCTCTTCTGCACCACCGCTACCTTCCACTATTACTCTGAAATTAAGAGGAAACCCAGTAAATCTGACCACTCCCAAAAACAGGATCCGCAATGGACGCCCTCCAAAGCATGGAAACATATCTCTTAACTCGTCCCTCCCGCTTCCCTTCCATAGCATCCGGCATAGAATGGCAGTAAGTCAAACACCACCCCCTCCCAAAGCGCCTCAGGCCTTTTGAAGTAGTCTTCTAATCTCAAATGTCCGGGACCAAAAAGCACCCGCTCGCGCACAATCCGCAACAAAACCTCCGCCCGCATCTCCGTCCCCTCCCTTCTCTACGAACAACCCACCCCGACAGACCCCACCAAACCCTGGGTCTGGCGCACCAACCTGTCCGCGACCAAACCCTTCTGGGAGAACTGGTTCATCGGCCTGAGTCGGAAGTTCCTCGATGCGCGCGGCGGCAAACTACTCCTGCTGGCGGGGACGGATCGGCTCGATAAGGAGTTGATGATTGGGCAGATGCAAGGTACGAACGATCAACCCCCCCAAACCCCCGCCTCTCCCAACCCCAAATTATTCCCACAGTAACTCGTTCCTTTTTTGCGGTGATGTGAACGTCCAGCAGAAGGAGGTTTGGGGCTCGAGAAGAAAAGAGAACTAACATTGATTAATTGATGAAATTTTTAGGCAAATACCAATTACAGGTTCTACCGGAAGCGGGCCATTTCATTCAGGAGGACCAGCCGGCCAAGACGGCGCAGATCCTGGTGGACTTCTACAAGAGGAATGATCGAAGTGCGTTGGTGCTGCCGCCCAAGGTGGCGGACATGCAGGCTCAGGCGGCCATGAACAAAGGGAACGGCGCTGGGCTAGGCTCCGGAGCTGGGGCCTTCAAGAGGGCTTAGAAGGTATATACGACTAGATTGTATGTCTTGTATGTTTTGTTGAGAGGGTTTATCTGTGTATAGGTGTAAATTCAGGTATGACGAAAGAAAAAATGTACAGATTATAATGAGATCTGTGTTTTTGTGTTCTCGTTTCTTCACAAAGGTTCCCGCTCCAACATTGAAACAAAATGCTGCTTGCCAAATAAACACCAAAAGCCCGCTGGCCATTCCATTTGCGTTTTCCATCCAGGACGCCGCCAAATTCTTCAGCCAAATCATTAACGAATACATGCGGCAATGCAATCAGGGAGGAAACAAGATGTCTCGACAAGAAAGCAAATTGGGGTGATAAAATTGCAATAAATAAAGATAAAAGATAAAGAGAAACGGGTATCTGGCGCCACTGTGCATGCAATTCACACAACCCTTCTCCTCCGTCGACCCCTTTCAAGGAAGATAAGCACCTCCAGCCATGATCAGATTCATATTGGTGAACTTGACCTTGTATACTGGACTTTTCTTGGTCGGGAACGCGCTGATCTGGTCAGGCGTTACGACCACATCCTTGCCCTTCTTCTTGCTTCCAATGCCAGGTCCGACGGAGCTGGAGGCTTGTGTGCTGGCCGCAGGGGGATTGCCGCCGTCGACCTTGGTTCCTGCGCCGCCCTCACCGACAACCCGACCCTGAGACGGATCCTGTGCAGGACCAGCCACGTCCCAGACGCGGACGGTACCGTCAGCACCACCAGAGACTAGAATATTCGATTCGACGCTCCAGCTGAGGGACCAAATGCCACCCTTGCCATGACCGCGCATGCGCTTGAGAAGTCGTCCTGGGGCCAGGTCCCAAAGAAGGATCGACCCGTGGTCATCGGCTGATGCGAGGAGCTTTCCATCACGGCTACACGACAGAGCTGTGATGTTTCCTGTGTGGCCGGTAAACATACGGACGGCATTTCCTGTAGTCACGGCCCACATGCGCACGGTGTGATCGGAGCTACCGGTGAAGATATACGCCGAATTGGGGTGAAAGCAGACGCAGTCGACATCCTGGTCGTGTCCGACGAAGATACGTTGTTGACGGATGTGGTCGGTGACCCAGAGGCGAGCGGTCTTGTCATGGCCACCAGACACGAAGTAGTGACCGAATGGGCCCCACTGCAAATCCCAGACGGGCTGATCGTGGCCCTTGTAAACTACCATGCATTGCCACAGATCCAGGGACCAGAGACGGATAGTTCGATCGGCTGATGAAGAGAGCAACCAACGGGCATTAGTCGGCGCAATGGCATTGTCGGCACGCGTAATAGAAGGCGCGAATGCTACAGAGTAGACGGGTCCAGCATGCCCAATCAGGCGACGAGAATTTGAGGGCGCATCATCCACATTGTCGTACGTCGACTGGATCTGCTTCCCATCCATGCTCCAGACCCGAATATAAGACTCCTGCATACCAGCCGCAACGAGCATAAGGTCATCGGAGAAGTCCAGGCAGTTGACGCTGTGTATAGTCAGTCGCGGGATATCATAACAAGCCCGAAGGTAGTACCACTCACCCATCGTAGGTATTATGGAATGTAAACATGCAGACACTAACGGCCGGCCCAACACCACCGGTTCTACCTTCGATCCTAAACCTGTCGCGGTTCTCTTTGACCTTTTGAACCTCGATCGCGACATCTCGAGCGGTTGATGGGGGATACGGGATATCAGCGCGAGTAGGTGCCTCTTCGTCGTCCTCTTTCTTGATCATCTGCTCAAACTCTTGGATCAAAGTGTTTTGGCCCGGGCCAGGAGGATGCTTGGCGTCTTCGTCCGCGAGCTCGCCGCGTACATCAGTCTCCAGGGTCGACTCAAGTGGTAATTTTCCAAGTTTCAGTCTAGGCAAGGTTCCGGCCATGTTCGGGTTATCTCCGGTGTAAGCAGACCCGGGGTGGTGACCAGGAATACCCTCATCTTCGCTGGGAAAGGTCTGGGTGCCATCACTTTGGCCGAGCATCGCGGCGAAACTAAATCGGTCGTCGGAAGTGCGCTCTTTTGTGATAATGGTACAGTAACTGCTCAGGATGGCAGTCATATCAGATCCGCCCTCCTTCTGCTTGCTCTCCAAGAATTGCATCAGGTTTGAGAATGCCGGGTTACTCAAGACCAAGCGGTACTTGTTAGTTCTATAGAGCTTGGCAGTAGCGTTGTCCTGAACATGTTCTGGGAGACTGATTGGCTCCAAAGCGCGAACATCTTCTGTGTGCTCCGGCAAGAAGAGGTTCTTGTTCATGTCGAAGAATTGTTTCGCCTCTTGAGGCTTAAACGAGGACACCATGTTGATGAAGGTGTAGACAAACAGCGGCCACAGCACACGTCTGAGTTCAGGCTGTTGAGGGTTTGTAAGCATTTTTCATCTGCAGGCCTTAGTACGAAGGGCATACCTTGTACAGATCCAAGTTATCTTCAACCCAGACCTTCAGCAGATCTATAACAGCATTAGACAAATTAGAACAAGAGTAGGACGAACTTACCGAAGCCAAGCCGATACTTAGGACGCGCATCTTCGCCAAGAGGGGGCATAGGCGGGCGGCCATCAATCTCTTGATGCGCCGATTCTATGCGCAGCATAGCCTCTGTGCGACTATAGCCTTTCTTGGCCAAATAGTCAATGACCTGGTTTTTAGAAATTTGTGTCAGTATTTGACGAAGCACCGATCATGAGACTTTGGTTTATATCAACCAATATAGATATCACAGCAGGAGCCTTCCTAGTTGAAGAGGCGATGATACCCAGCAACACTTGAAGCCCAAATGATAACCAGATTCACATGTTTAACAGCTTCTCTAGCTTGTCTCTCTTTGTGAAAGCGGCCGGTGGACGGTAAGCAATTTGAGGCACCTTCACGGCACCTTCACTGCACCTTCACTGCACCTTCACTGCGACATCTGCGAAGTGAATGCACGACAACATGCCTGAACCCGCAAGAACCACCTTCCGCGGCACAGGACACAACAGACCCAGAAATGAGAGACGAATACGTACTATTTGATTGAGATTTTGCTGCGACATTGGACCCCCCGGCGGTGGCGGCGGCGGAGCAGGGGGGCCAGGCGTCACAGGGCCGGTGTTGGTCATGGGTTGTTGAGGAGGCATCGACATCCCACCTGGACCGGGCCCCATACTTCCACTTCGGGGAGCTGGGCTCGGGGCCCCGCCTGGCGCAGACATGGCTGCTGGATGATCTGACAGGGGAAATTCAACGGTGGGGGGGGCAAAAGCTCCTATGTGCCGAGCAGAGGAGGTGTCCAGTTCACTAAAGCGAAAGATGCGACGGCGCTCAGAAGAAACTAGCAAAGAGAGAGGAAGAGACCGACACGCGGACGGGGAGGGAAAGCAGTTCGGGATGCGATTCAATCCGGAGGTTTTGCGAAGTCCGCAGCTTAAGGACACTATCCCTTTTGTGAACTAGCGTGTGGCTGGCCCCTGGTCCCATCACGTGATGATATGCTATGTTCAATCATGGATAGATGCACCTATCGTCATCAAAGAGCAATCACTGGCATATTGCTGCAATTCACCCTGTGCCTGACACTGCCCAGAGCACCATGGCCGAGTCCGGCAACAATTCTAGGTCTCCAGACCAAATCTTCACTTCCGCCGATCGCATTCGGCAGCTTAATGAGATCGACAAGGTAAGTAAGCTACCTACCCTCTGGAGAAGCGAGAGCTGCGACAACGTGCATCCTACTCGAAGATGAAACTCAGACTACTCACGACTCGCACTGCAATACTATCTGAAACCATGTACTAATTGGAATTGTGTTAAGGATGTCGCTCAATTGATTCACTCCGCCGGTCTCGCTATCCAAGCCCTTACTAACGCCCGAACCACCGACTCACCTGCTGAGAACAACTCCTTAGCCGCCCACAAAACACGCTTCAAAGAGGCCACATCGCAGTACTTTGCGCTTCTCTCGTCCATTGATGTCCGACTGCGACGACAGGTGTACGCCCTCGAGGAGGCCGGGATTCTCGCGCCGGAGACGGCCGCGACCGCAACGAACCCCCGCACAGGCGAGTTAGCCGGGGCTGGTGCGGCAGCGGCGGCCGCATCGTCAAACCCGTTGGATGTGAGCTGGCTCAACAGTCGGAAGGACACGGTCGGGAAGGATAAGGAGGCAGAGCTGTGGGCTGCGGCAAGGGAGTTTGTCGAGCAGCTCGCTCGGCATGGGCCTTCGTCGGCAACCGCTAGACATGAGTTGAAAACGGAGGGTGGGCAGGAAGACATTGAGATGGACTGATGAACGATAGTCTGAATGAGGCACACGCATTCTTTTGAGCAGATGCTATCGATTCCTGCATTCGGGTGTCGACGATTGGAGGATCGCAACAACCATTTGCGTGGACAATGGTTTGTTAAAAGTACGAGTCTTATGATACCCAAGCTTATTTATACAATTGTGTTGATTCCGCACGACGAAGCTTTGAGCCATTGTTAGGCTCAAGTAAGATCTTTACAATAAAAGCGCCAGAGTCAAACTAAGATCGGCTCCCCAGGAACCTTAGAACTACATACAATTAAGTGAATGGCAAACTCGCGGGATAGAAAGACGAACGTCTAGGTGATGTTGACAGGTTAAACATCCGCTTGCTTTTACAACTCCAAGCAATGAATGTGGCTACCGCTGCATGGATCTGATCATCTCGGCGTGATTAGCCCGCTCCTTGTTCGCCTCTGTCAAGGACGAAAGACCTGCAACACATTAGTATTATGGTACCATGCATTCCCGCAGCAGAAGAACTCACTGCGCAGTTCACCGACAACATCCTTGGCCTTGCCAAAGTATACCTCCTCTGCAAGAATGTCCACATTAGTCTTCATCCCGTAATGTATGCGCTTGCGTCTGGGCGCAGAGAAATTGAAACACATACGCAGCAGGTTTCTCATCTTCAACTCCATATCCTCCACAAGCCGGCCGACGTTTGCAACGTGGCTTGCATCCGACTCAACGGGCAGATCGACCTCGACCTGGCGGGTCATGTTACCGCTGAGGTCCATCTCACCCAGAGCCTCGGACTCGTTCGCCAGGTGGAGGATGACCGTGCTGGTCAATTTGTAGTGGGACATGCGAGCTCTGTCAGTAGCCTCGAAGACGTGGATGCTGTCCCACTCTCCCGAGCTCTTCGCACCAGGGGTGACTCCTGTTGCCGTACCACATCGCGTTAGCAACGAGCCCGACCATCATTTTGCCCACCTTCCTGTAACCAAGCTCGACGAGTCCTCCGCTTTTTCATTATAGGAGATAGAAGCTGACGCACCTTTCTTGAGAAGAATCACGCCCGCAAACCCATCATCCAAGTCCCAGAAGTAGACGCTCCCCACGCCGCCCTCGTAGTATAGCTCCCGGTAGACATCGAAGGCCTCGTTAGCAGCAACCTCGAGCTTTCTCACCCGCTCACTGGGTACCGTTCCATCATCGAGAGGGGGGTCGAATTCGTTGCTCCAGGGTGACCGGTAGCTGTCGCCATCCCGGTTGTAGTCGCAGAGCAAGTAATCCCGGTTGGTCTTGGGGCAGCGGCGGACCTCCAGGGGCTGATCAACGGACGATAAAAGATCCTCGGTCAGGTCAGGGACAATGGTGGTGATTGCTTGCAAGTTCTGCTTGGTATCGCGGGGGTTGAGGCGCCGGAGCAGGTCCCTGGGAGCAGCACGATGTTGGTGGTCAGCGGGATGCTGCAAGCGGGGTTGCACGGCGAGGGGTTGACCTTCGCCGATGCGGACAGAGAGGGGAGCTTGCTCGGGGGAGTTGGAGGAAGGTGAAGTGTTGAATGAAGGGCTCAGCTAAGACACACTTACAGCGCACTATCATATTGTGCGTCAGCCATGATTGTGACGGGTTGTTGGAATTCAATACTATAGTAGTGTTTAGGTTGCTGTTTACTTCCCAGTTACCTTTCAAGCCCGGGGGGGAGACCGGACGGAGTGACGGTGGATTACTGTAAGCGGTGTAGCGCCGCTGGTTGGAGAAAGCGGGTCGATTGAGGCCTCCCTCCCCCTTATCACTCCACCAAGTATATGCTTTGACTTGCCTTGTCCATGCTTGAAAAGAGCCTCAACAAAGCTCTGCTTCAATAAGAAAAGGTACTGCCTTTATGGAGGGCTATTGCAAGCCACTACAGGATTATGCCTTGCTGTCAGAGAGATATCGGTGCTTTTCTGGCTCTTCAATGATAGCAGCCTACTGAAGCGGGATAACATTACCAAAGTGATCGAGGCAAAGATAGGCAAGTGGAAAGCGATCAAGTATGATTGTTCGAAATATCCATCTGTGTCTAGAGCAGTGCGTTGACAACTCCCCAGCTACGCTAAAGTATCGCACCGAGGCTATTTCCATTGATACCACCACCGAAGGCATATTAGGTAGCCGTATGGGATGCCGCTCATCGCTTCTCGCCGGGTAGATACTGCAGTTTCCAGTGCTTGCAATTCTTAATTCTTAATAAGACAGTTTCATGTGCACGTAATGACCTCGAACATGGTGACCTAGAGATCCAGACTAGACCAACCAGCTTCACTGAGACTCTCTGTGGCTTCCAAGTCATGATGCTGTGAACTCTTCAACAATCAATTCGTGTGGAAACCCGCTCGGCTGGACATGGTACATTGGAAGGACACAAACTGATATTGAACGTCCCAAGATGCAGGCTGAAGCAGGCATCAAGTTCATGGTCGAGCCAGGCAGTATGGTATTCGTCACGCTGAGTGAGCTCTCCATGGCCCACTATGGGAGTACATTGCAGGGTCATACAACACTGATGCCCAAGGCGGAAAAGGGTAAGCCAACCTTTTCTATCAATCGAAGGGTATATCCTGCTGAAAATTAACGTCCAATGTGAACGGACACTGAACCAAATAGAAAAGTCCACCATCAAACGTCGCTATCATCGCTCATGACGAATTGGCGGCTCCGCCGCTTTTTCTCAACGCTTCTGTCCAAAAGAGTAGACATGTCAGGGAAGTCTTCACCCATGTCCTCCGTCATTTGTGAGCAGAATAATGAATCGTCTGCCGCTGTCTCTACAGCCGAGAGCTGTTTCTTCGAATTCCTTGGCGTTTTATCTGTGCCATCCCCTTCCCCATTTGTCTTGCGTTTCACGGGGAGAACAAAATCGGTAACTGTGCGCTGGGTGCGCCTGGCACCACACTCACGGCTGCTCATGTCGCCGGTGGTGCCTGGAATATCCTCGTACTTGTCCGGACTCAGCGCTAAGACACGCCTATATTGCTGCTCACAGTCCGCGGAAATCTGATCCATTTTCTGCAGAGTCCCAATCATGCGGCGAGTCAGAGACCCATGCTTTACTACTTTAGTAGGCCGAGGAGCGAGCTGAAGGCGCGGGAAAGCGTCAGTTCGAGGATTGCAGATTGACGGTGCATCGGACTGTCCTGCCTTGCCGTAATGAACATCAAGCTCGTTTTGCTGCGCTGGAGTAAGCAGGACATCTTCGAGCGCTGGGAGATCAACGGGCTCCGGAGTCGGCGTGCGAGCCTTACTTTTCTTTGCTTCCCTACGCTTGCCGCCTTCAGCCAAGCTGGACGCTTTCGTGAAGCCTGTTTCCACATTGTCCGGCATGTGGAACTTTTTGGGTGGCCTCTTGGGAGGGCGTCCTTTCCGCTTGGGCTCAGGCAGCTCTCGCACCGTATTCTCTTCGGGTATTTCAATCGCCCGTTTATCAGCTACAGGCCGGATCCCCGAGGGAAGAATACGAGGGGACTGGTCTTCATGAAAAGTAAATCGGGTGCCGCTAGCAATCATCTGTTGCATCTTCTCGTAATTGTCCTTGGCCTTGATATAGGACTCTTCCTCCTTGCCTTGCATCAGAAGCAGCACAATGTTACCCGCTCGCTTTCGACCGGTACGTCCCATGCGTTGAAGCATGCGAATTGGTGACGCGGATGAATCGTAACAAACGATCAGGTCGACCTCGCCGATATCCAGACCTTCCTCACCTATCGAAGTTGCAACGATCGTGTTGTAAGTGCCGCTCTTGAACTTCTGCACAATGTCGAGTTGAGTTTTCTGGTTCATTCCTTCTGAGCCCTTGGCGCTACTCTGTCCGACAAAGACATGGGGCCGAATCATCGGCTCGTACCTTTTGAGGACTCGCGTCACCTCTTCGGCGCTGTCCCGGAAATGCACGAAGATCATGACTCTGGTTGCTGGTTTCGCCTGGTCATCGCCTGTACCCGCACCTTCGCCTGCGTCCATGAAATGGTTCAAGACAACCTGCTTCAAGTATTCCAGCTTGGGATGGCCAATGAACTCTGGGTTCTTAGTCCATGGCTGCAAATGGTTCATAAGTTTTTTGAAACTTTCATCTTGGACAACTTGTCGTTGATATTTGCCACCCTTCTGCCCGTCAGTGTTGGACTGAAAATGTGCAAGATGACGGTAGAACGGAGTGATTCCGTGATATTTCAGTAGGTCGATTCCATGGGCAAGGCTGGCAAGAACGCTGAATATCGCATTTACTTTGCCCTTCAACCCGAAATGTGCATTCCGACCAACGTCTGACATCATCCACTGCTGTCTGGCTTTTGTCAGTCCGAATGCCGTAAGTCCCATAGGATCACGGCCCCAGTAAGCATTGAGACTCCGAAGCTGATCAACTAAAGGTTGGAGAGTCTTCGTTAATAAGTCCATGCACAGAACCATTTCCTCGGAATTCTGGAAAGTTTGCACCTCTATGTCCTTTGCATGAACATATTCCCGGATATCAAGGGATTGTTCCGTGCGGATCTCAACTCGGGAAATGTCCAGCCCATCAATTACTGCCTGGACGGCTTCCACCGTGGAGCCAGGCGTTGCAGTCAAAGCCAGGACACGGAAACTTTGATTGTAGCGTCGAAGAAATTTAACAACTTCCACGTAGGCATACCCTCCTGTGGCGCGATGCGCCTCGTCTACAACAAGCAAAACGATGCGCTTAGGATCTGCAATCCCGGTCTTGAGATCATTGACTAAGGTCTGAGGGGTCATGAAGAACACGCGTTTAGCCTTCCATTCCTCAGCTCTGATGCCAGGGGCAGCTTCGCCGGTGAGCATTGTGGTCTGGGATCGTGGAACTCCTGCAATTTGAAAGCATGCGTCTATCTGTTGAGCGACTAGCGGTTTCGTAGGAGCGACAAACACGATCTGAGCGTCTTTGGTCCATCGTAGCCAGTTCAACATGACAGTGGCTGCAATAAAGGTTTTACCTAGACCAGTGGGCAGCGCAACGAGCAGGTTATGGAACAATCCTTTCTGGGCGATGTTGAACTGGTAATCTCTGGTTTTCCCCAGATTGGTGGGATAGACCCATGTATCTAGAGATTCCTGATTCAATTTGTGTTGTGTCGGAGGCTCGACCTTCTCGGGTGGTGACATGAACTGCTCGCCACGCGGGGGCTGGTTTGCTGGACTCCGGACTGCCATGTCAAATAAAGTCGTCTGCCGAACACCCAGTGGACGATTGACACTCTGCGTAAAAGTGCCTGATACCAGTCGACCATGAGTTGGGGGAGGAGACAAGGATAGATCGGAGTCAAAAGCATCGTCTGGTATGTCGTCTAGAAATTCTGCAGGAATATCCATAGCATCGCCTGTTTGTTCACTTGAGGAGCGATCCACCGATGGAGGCTTCAGGTGATTAAAAGCTGTCGTGTGAGACGTTTTAGAGCTTTCTTTTTCGAACGATTGCAACGAAGCCTCAATGGCCGCCTTTAAGGCGTCATCATCTTCAAATTCATCATTTGTCCCATCACCGCCGCCTCTTCCGTTGACTGCGTGTGTTGCCGGAGCGTTCGTTGGGGGTGGTAACTCGGGGTCTGGCTTCTTCCAACGCGGGCCTCGAATCATTTCTGGAGGTGATTGAGGCTGCGTGAGTTGGGTGACGAAGATGTTCTCCTGGACATTTCTGTTCTTTGGCACGAACAGTTTATACTTGGAATGCGCCTCCGGCTCCTCAGAATCGCGGAAATAATGTGATGCTCGTTCGGGAGACTGTAGCTCCTCGTCCTCGTCTTCGCCAGAGTCAGGCGAAGCCTCTCGCGTGTCAGGTCGGTCACATTGATTCTTTCGCAGTGATAGGTTCTGCTTGTTGGCTTTCAGGCGACGGCGCTTGGCCGGCCTGGGAGAATCCCGTTCTGTCGGCGTGGCGGCGGCATCAGAGTCGTCGTCAACAACGAAATCTCCGAGATCATCATCAAAGTAGTCGGAAGAGGCCCCTTCCAGGTCAGACATGTCGAACCCAACGTGGTTCGTTGGGATCAAAGCCGCTGCAGGTTTGAGCTGGCCATGTTCATAACGCGACGCGTCGGATCGCAATCACATGTTGGCTTAGTCATGAAATGTTCATGATTTCCTAATTTGGCGTAACCGCTCGTCCTCCGCCCAGCTCCGAAGACGAAAACCCCATTTTGTTCCGAGGCAAAGGGTGTCTAGATACCACTGGTGAGGTGCTCTGGCTATTGTGCTTTTGGTCTGTCAACAAATTTAAATCGAATTGACCGAAGTCGCATATACATCCCACTCATGTTGTGGAACTTCGCCAGGCGCACAGTGAGAGTCTCCTCGGCCACAAGCGATGACCACGAGTGGGATAGAGGGTTTTTACAATAATCTTAGTTATCTACTGAGTACTAGAAACTTCCGTCGGGTCTCTACAATTCAACATTGATGTTCTGGGCCACATTGAATCAAGGCAGCCAACCTGGGATGGATTATCCATTTAGCGTGCTCACTAAATCAACCAAAAACAAGAATATACGGAGTAAGTAAAGCACGAGCCAGAATGGCGGACAAGGCAGTTAGTTGCCTTGGAGCTTTCAGTAGTCAGTAAATCAGACTAAGCTAACTAGTTATTCTGTACCGAGTACGGAGTACTTCAGCACTTCGCAATTGCCACCGCACTGGAAAGCATAAGGAGTAGAAGATCGAAACTCTGATGTGTGTGGGTGTGCCATGTCCGGGGAAATTCAGGATTTGATGACTTGGCCAGACAGCACCTGAAGATCCTGTGGTGTAACGCCGGGTTCAATATTTTGTAGGGATGAGAGAAGGCAGCTCCAATCAATCTCGGGGGTCTTGGGGTAATGGAGACCAGGAGCGATCCGTAGTGTTGCAGCCACGGAACTTTAATCGCCCTTTCATTCTGTGAGCAGTCTTGTGGTTGCTCGTAAGGAGACTACACTGTAAGATTATTACTAGGATCTCTGCACTATGAAGGCTGCAGGCTGCACTCCAGAGATTTTTGACAGACCTTTCCGCATGACCTTCACTCACTGCCACTGCCACGAGCAATCAATCAGCTCATTGTTCTGGCTCAAATTGGCCAAGCGAAGAGCCGGGCTTATCAGCGCCCAGTTTCTCTCCCTGGATGTGGAGTAGCCAGCGAAGAGGCGGATAAGAGCTTTGAGCAATGGGTGGACGCAGAACGAGACTAAGGAGGACTAAAGTCGGACTAACAGCGACGGTAGTGCCACTCCAGGGTTATTTTTGGGGCCGATCCCTCCTTGGGAGTCATTTAGACTGCTTGGACTCTGGAGGAGTCCCCAGATTTTCCAAGGGTCTGTCCACCCTGCGCGCTTCACCGGGAAATTGTCTCCTTTGAGTGAGAGCAAAGTGGACTTGAAGTGATGTTTTGAGCCGGGCTTCTTTTAGATCTGTTCGCGGATTTGGGGCCACTTCCGTCACTGAATTCCGGAGTAGTCAGTCAGTCAGTCAGTCACTTGAAAGAAGAATCTCTGCAGATTATTGTAGATAGCAAGGGCAAGCGAAAAGACAGACTTAGGGGTAGGAGAAGCAAGCATGGGGCCGTCGAAATTGCCACTAATGTAAGGGTGAGCAGGACTGAGCAGGACTGCGCAGGACTAATCAGTTCAGTCAATCAATGAATCAGTGAATCAGTGAATTCAATCCGTCAGGTCGTCGGCTAGTCGGGTGAGGCCGAACAGCGCATCTTAACCAAGTTGTTGCCAAAAGAGTCGTGCCACTGGATGTGAAGGAGGCCAACCACTGGCTGAAACCCCGCTAATCACTCTCAAGTGAATGAATCGAATGGACTTAACAGGCACTAAATTCAATTTCCCGCTACTGTTTTGTTTTTCCTTTTTGTCTACTTTTTCAAACAAATTACGGAGAACGGAGGGAGTACTTCTATCTTCTTCTTCCTCTCTCTCTCTCCTCTTTCTCTTCTTCTCTTCTCCTTCTCTTTCTCCTCCTCAACAGTCTTTCGTTATTCCATACTTTGCGCTCGCTCGCTCCTCGCTTCTTTCGGGCTTTCAAAAAGTAAACTTAACGTCTGTCTCTACATCAATCACATCTCTTGTCAAGATGAAGTTCAACAGCGCTCTCGCTCTCTCCTCCCTCCTGGTGCTCGCCGTGGCCCAGGACACCAACTCTACCTCCACTGCCAGCGCTGCCACTGCGACTGCCAGTCTCTCTGCTCAGGCCAAGTGCGCCGAGTCCTGTACGTATACATCTCTACGCGAATCATCTCCTCTCTACCTTCAATTGCCTTACTTGCGCATCTGCCCATACACACTATCCTTCCGTCTTCCTTGACTGCAGAACCAAATCATAGTACCACCCCCATTCTAATCCACTATACAGGCGCCTCCAGCGACATCTGCTGCATTGCCAAGTGCTACAATGTCCCCTGCCCCAACGACTCTCAGGCCAACGACACCACCAGCTGCGTTGCCGCCTGCCCCCAGGGTAACGGCTCCACCAGCGACACCGACGCCTACGCCAGCTGCCAGAGCCGTTGCGTGAGCAGCTACTTCTGGTCCAGCGCTACTGCTACCGCCGGCTCCTCCGCCAGCACCGCCAGCTCCAACGATGGTACCACCACCACCGGCAGCGGCAGCAAGTCCTCCTCCACTGGTTCCAGCAGTACGTTATCCCCCTTTTTGTTTCCCCTAGTGGCATCACCGGATTACCTGAACTCATGACACTAACCCACGTTCCCTCCCCCTGCTCAGAGTCTGGCTCCTCCAAGTCCGGCTCCTCGGACTCGACCAGCACCGCCACCAGCACCGGCGCCTCCGCCAGCGAGACCTCCAACTCGGCCGCCATCACTCAGCTGAAGATGGGTGTCTCCACCGTTGGACTCCTGGGCTTCGTCCTCGCCGCCTGGGCTCTGTAAATCTCTTCCGCTTACAGAACGGAAGCGAGATGTCACAGAAGTTTCTTTCAACCAACAACGGCACACGAACCTTTTTGTCTCAGTACATATGGGAAATTGAATGAATGAGGGCGGGCAGGAAGGGAAACATGATTGATTTTATTTTGCACTCTAATGGGATATCACACTTCGCACACAAAGCACCCCTTGACTTACTACTACTCTTGCACACACTTTGTTGACGTTGTCATAATAACTTACTACTACCTTGACTGTCTGTCACTAATACTACCCACAAGCGCTTGCTTCACTTGGCAGAATTTAGTATTATTGTATAACAATCATATCTGTGTTGCAGCTTGTTCTATCTTGCCTTTGCCTTTGTAGGTATAAGTGCTGTTCTCGGTATCATTACGGTACTTGTTTCCCAGGTTGAAAAAAGGTCGAGCGCCAACCCATTAGCCCACAAGATTCAGGTGCCGTGCTGTACTCCCAATACCACCATGATTTCATCACAGAAGGCAAACCAGGCGAGTGAGCAGCATGAACAGTTCACAAATGACGAACGATGACCACAAGTGCAGGCAGGCAGGCAGGCAGGCAGGCAGGTAGGCAGGTAGTTGTAGTGTAATGTGTTGTACGTGGTGCCCCAATCTGCCCCAATCTGCGGTAGATCGGTTTAGTCTGTGTCGATCATGAATGGGTCTACACGCAGCTCGACTCCACTGCTGTGAGACTGCTGCCACTCATCATAGGGTGGTTGATTTGGTGACTACACACGAGCTTCCCCCGCATTCTTCAGGTACAAGGATGATTAAGGTTTGTCATTCCATGAATCGACCTCAAAAGTATCAACACAAAATTAAAACTCTCCAGGTAAAGTCGACCCACGCTGGCAACACGTATACAAGAGTCAGTGCCCGAACAAAGTCCTTATCTATCTGATTTGAAGTACAGTATTGAGTATGAAACACAGTTCAGAATGCAATGTCACCTCGCGAGAGGAGCAGACAGGGCGCCGGTATAAGAGCAGCAAACGGTCATATGGATGCAATGATTGAATCCAGCTCCGGACTTTGGTCAACGGTCCTGCCATCCAAATTGTTCATAACCCCTGAGCAGGAAAGGATCGTTGACTCTGGTGCAGGCGTGGACGATAATGCTATAGGGTAATATGCAATGGGCATTAGTAAAAGCGGAGAAGAGTGGAAATCAAAATCCCAAGCACGCCAACGCCCATTCCAATAATGTCTAGATAATTGTAGATTAGTCCAATCATGAAGATGCCACTCCAAAACATCATGTTCGGTCACTGTTGATGTCAGACCCGGTCTCGCGCAAAATCCAGGACTTCACAGTCATCCTCAAAAAATCCATCGTCAACTCCATTGCCCGAGGCCAAGGCCGAAGTGGATTTCTTCTTCCGACGGGTTGTGATTACCACTTCTTCAACGTTTCCGGTACTGTTCCCGAGGCTGATCAAATTCTCCATTTCCCCACCGAAGCCCTGGTGGTTCTCTTGCATCATGTCGTCCTCGTCGTCTTCACTGTGGGAGCTGAAAGGACGGACGTGGAGCTTAGACGTCGGCAAAGAGCCTCCAAAGACCCACTGACCAGTCGGGACCGATGTCTCAGCGTCATTCATTTCGGGATAAACAAAGAGGTTTACCCTCTGGTCAGTGTGAAAAGGCTGATATGGCGTGTTGGTCTCGATTTCCGCCTGCGAGAGGGGCTGAGACTTGAGCTTCGATGACGCAGGGGGACGGGCAGCGGAAGAGGGCAAAGCCAGAGTAGCCCAGACATTGGTTTCTGCGCCAAGAGTCCCAACGGTCAGAGGGCCGCAAGGTGTCTGCAGAATTGGAGGTAGTCGAAATTCCAATGCCTTTTCTCCAATCGCTGACTGCAGCTGCCGATTCCGATTGGCGGACACCGAGCGCTTGATTTGATAGAGGCGGAAGAACCCCCCATCTAAAAGCCCCAGGAAGGGCATGCCCTTGCTGGTTACCCAGGTTACACGGGATGCAACTGGGTCACGGGAGAGCCCGGACAGATGCAGGCGATGCTCGCCGCCATGTCGAAATGTATTGACTGTTTTGACTGTGCCGGTCGCGGCGGCTCCCATTGATTTGCTCAGACCAGCGGCAACGGCCTTGCCACTAACACCAGCAGTGGAAGGAATCGTGAATCCACCCATCGAGTTGAAGGCCGCACCAGTCGACGGTGCACGACCCCTCACTGCGGCAAGAATGGGCTGTGTCTTACCTCCAACCATTTTGAAGGCTGCTGACAGGGGATTTGCGGCGGCCGCCCGGTCAGACAGCTCCTCGGCTGGAAGATCATTGGTAGGGGCCTTGGTAGGCTGTGGTCTAGCTCGACGGAAAGGGGGCCACTGGAAAGCGGATCGTGGCAGGTCGAACACATGCACCGTGGGCTTACCGGTGATGATTGCAAGTTTGTCGCCGGACGGAGGACACCATACCACGTCTATAATGCGGGATGCTGTCAACCGCGAAAACCTCGCGACCTGCCGCACGCTCGGTTGCGCAGATGTGGGGTCGTCGGAAAGTAAAGCCCCTGCCCGGCAATACTTCGCCTGCAGAAGATCCCAAACATACTGAACGTCTCCCTTCTTACTCACGGTAAGCAACATCAGGCCATTGGGAGAGAAAGAAAGAAAGCTACAGCCATTAGGCACTTGAAATGTGGTCATGGAACCGAACAAAGCGTTCTTTGTCTCAGTGCCCTCTTCTAGTCTCTGTAAGTCCGTCACTGAAACTAGATCCGGCTCAGCAGGGGATGCGGTCTGGGTTTCCTGAGAGTGCGTGGGGGGAAAGATGTTGTAGCCCTGCGGTGAGAAATCCATCAGGTTAGGAGATCGACGTGATGAAACGCTTTGTGCCTGTTCTTTGTTCCAGTAATTGTTCCAAGCTTGCAGTCCCTGATCACCCATCCAGCGAGCACCACGCATAAGCTCTTGTGTCACGCCTCGGGCGACTTTGCCAAAGAAACTCTCGCCCTCGCCGACGTCAGTAGCGCATGTTATTACTGGTCGGGACGGCGGGCTACGAGTCTCAAGCCCAATAGTCTTTCCCTGTAGGAGAGATGCAGGAACCGTTGCATGAAGGGATGCTCTGTAAGTGGTTGACGGCGGGACCGTAGCCAACCACCTTCCTCTGAGAGATATGATCGGGTTGTCATGGTTGGGAGGCCCATGAGGTGAGTCGGACTGCGAACCATCCGGATCAGTGGAGCTAGAGGAGGTCGAGTATCGTCGAGATTCCTTTGACTGGATACTCGTCCAAATCTTGCCGAGACACTGATACCTGCCTATGCCGTAGGTGTAGACTTCTCCACTCGACCCGGATGCCACAACAACGTAACTGCCGCTAGCATAAAGCCTCAGGTTGCCGACAGGCGGTGGAGCCAAAACCGGCATCCCTGGAATATTGCCAAAGCACTGGACCGGCGGTGTGGTCAGAAGCGTTGTAATGTGCTCTCCGTTTCTCAGAGAATAGACATCGACTCGCGTTTGGTAATATTTCAATTCGTCCTTATTGATACGACCACCAGATATTGACGGTCGACCAGCTGGGATCTCGTTTGTTTCGGACCCGGTAGAGGAGGCGTGGCCCTCATCATCGGGTACAGAACAGGGTCCATGAGTAATGACAGCAATATGGGGTCTGGATGTGGAGTTCGGGTCATTCGCCGAGATACTCGTCAGCAACTTGGCCTCGATCACCCGACCATTCAGGCCGGTCAGCTTGCCCACCAGACGAGTCTTCTGATCTTCTATGGCAAGAATATCTAGAGCACCATCTGTACCAACAAGAAGGACGTTGCTCCCTATCCTAGACGCCTTGAACCACTGGCTCAAAATTGTATCAAAGGCACAGAAAGAGTAGCCCCCGTCACTGATCGGCCTACTTTGTGCAGAAGACACGGGCAACTCGATATCTGGTGCGCCGTAAAAGTGGGCCTGCGGTAAATGGGGCAGGGGTATCTGGTTGTTGAATGGGCTGCTGACAGGGTTGCTCTTGTGCCGGTCTGCAGACGGTTGCCTGGACGTATTACTAGTAGAGTAACCATGTCCATAACTCAAAGGCCTTGTCCTGCTGGAAGGCGAGGCCGATGAAGGCTGGCTGAACCCGCCTTTATCATGACTTGTGAGAAATCCAAACGGTGATCCGCTAGCAAATTCACCATCTGTCACGTCATTAGGTGGGCTTTTGCCGAAAGGGATAGACTTGGCCCAAGTATCGGTCCGGTAGGTGACATCATTTTCCGGGGAATCTCCCAGAGAGTCCAGGGCGTCGAGAACGGGGGACACAATATTGTGACTAGTCGGAGGCTCTAATGTAGGATTTGGACAAGACGACGGCTCTGCCAGCAGAGGTGGTGAGAGTTCCTCGCTGTAGCGTAGACCACAAGGTTGGCCCGTTGTTAGCTTTGTTTCATGCGGTAGTGACTTACGCTTGACAAGGTTGGACTTACAGGTCGCCCGGTGAGGACCTGGCCGCTGCTTTCGCCGCTTTAGCCTTGGCCTTTGATCCGCTTTTTCCTTTCTTCTTGCTCTTGCCCCCAAGTTCATGCTCCAGGTTCAAACGGTTATTATCCTCGGGAGGAATGGTGTCACCTGGGGACCGGCTCTGCTGGCGAAACAAATCGTCCGAAGCTGCCGGTGGCATTCAAATGGAGGGTCTGCCTGCTAAGAGGCAGTATGATTTCGAGAAGGTGACCGCTCTCAGAGACCTTGGCAAGGTCTGAGAACGGGTCTGACAATATGGTCGACCTGCAACAAAAATCGCGCTCAGGCCGGGTCTGGAGGCTTGTAGAGAAAAGCCCTTGGGAGGCAACGCTGCGAAGGTCAACAAACGCTTATCAGCATGAGTCATCGACAGACAGGAATGTTCAAGCGCTTCAGGAGACTACTTACGAAGGAACTGTATCGGATGCAAATGTACTCGAGGTCAAAGACGCGTGAGAAGCGTGTCGGGTTGTCGCAGCTGCAACGACAAGCCGCGACCAGCAACGTATCTAAAGCGGGGACCCGTTCACTGATAGGCCGGTAAATAGTTAGTAGATCTGGGATACAGGACAGCTCGGCAGCACAGCTGTAACCGTCTGTCCTCGATATCAAAGGTAAACAAGGGGGTATGTTTATGTTAAATATGAGGCTGAACCAAGTGGTGGACAGGTAGTAATGAGATCACAGTAGGTAGAACGAGGGAGAGAAGATGTTATCATCCGGAGGGAAGGGAAATAGGGAAAGGAGGGAAAGGAGGGGGAGGGGAACCGGGTCAGGGTCAGGAGCATGGATGACATCTCCATGGTTAGTAAACTTATCTCCTATCAGTAACTAACTAAGTTAACTACCTGGTAACTTAGGTAGCTTACTGCCGGTAACTGCGGAGTACGGAGTGCATAGTGTACTGTACATAGTGTACAAAGTGTACAGTACCTCGTACCTAGTACGTCCGTAAGGTTCCCGACCGA